CACCATCCATAATTAAGAATTCCAAACCTTACTGATATCAAATCACACGACACCACCAAAACAAGCCTGCCTATATATATAGTGACCACAATCATCATCACAAATCCGAAATCCCTACTAATGTTCTTGGGGCTGTTGGAGACTTACATTGGTGATGGTGAATCGGTGATTGAACAGGGCAGAAGACGGCGGGAGAACAGGGCAGACGACGGCGGGATTCCGGGGCAGAAGACGGCAGCGTCGGCGACGACGACTTCTGTTGGACGACTTATGTTCGGCGGGAGAACAGGGCAGACGGCGCGAAGGTTGGGAGCGGGAGGAGTGAGGACGGCGCTGCCGCTGCGACGGCCGACGGCCGACGAGCTCGACGGGGACGACCGGACGAGGCGACTGGCGGGCGGCGGCGAGGGTAGGGACTAGGGATTACTGGGGAACGAAATGGGGAGGACGAGCGGCGGGTGAGGAGACTGGGGAACGAAATTTAGGTCAGGGAGGAGAGGCCTTCACCGATTTCGCCATTTAGGTCAGGGAGGAGAGGTGGCCAAACGACGTTGTATTGAGGACAGGTAAGTGTGGTCGGTTTTTTGCGGTTACTTTGCACGGTTTCGGTTTTAACCGCTAACCGCTCGAATTGCCCAACGGCTGATGTTAGCCAACCGCAACCGACAACCGCAAGCAACCGACGGTTTTCGGTTGGTCAGTAAACCGACGATTTCGGTGGTAACCGAAAAACCGGAGACCGATTAACAGCCCTAATCTTGATAGCTCTTCAGCCAAAAGTTTCTTCTTCTTCTTCCTCATTTCTGCCTTACACTCAGCTAGCCCCAAACTTTCTTCAATATTCAAAGTCGAACACCCAATTTCAGAGTCATGATGCTTATCTTCATCGACATTCATTCGCACCCACCTAAAAAAATGACAGTTCTTCTTCTCGTCTTGCACCATACGAGCATTCAACTTAGAACCCACATCAATGACAATTTCAAAACCCATCTCTAAACACCTTACCATCCAAAATGGACACCCATAGAACTGTCTTCCTGGGTTTGCTTCGGTTCCAGATGTATTCACCACACATGGCTCTTGTGCCAACAAATTACCGCCCCTCGGCTATTGATGCTAGTCGAAGTTGAGGAAGATGCTCGCTTGGACATGGCTGACCTTCGCGTGAAGTTCTGGGCAGGAGAAATCGCTATTTCGGGGTCGCGAATCGGTCGAGAAGAAGTGGGATTTGGGGAAGAAGGAAGAAACGCCGAGTCGTTCAGAAACTAGAAGAAGATTTGGGGAAGAGGAGTAAACATCGATTAGCTTCGTGTATCTCCTTCGTGGGGAAGAGGAAATTTGGGAAGAACCTTAATTTCGTTTTCTAGAAAGAGATGGAGAAGAAGGAAGCCCTAATTTCGTTTTTTGGAAATAGATGGGGATTTTTGGAAGCCTCGTGCGATCAGGTAGATGTGGAAAGTTTTTATTTTTTTTAATAATAAATAAATTATTAAGATGACGTGTCAATTTTTGCTTAGTTGTCGCTGACGTGGTTGATGATTTGGCGCCTCGTCAGCCAACCGTCAAATAAGTTGACGGAGTTATTAACACCGTCATAGTTTCTAACGGAAATGGCTATATCTGGCACGCAACATCTTTCAAAAGTGGCTATTAGTGGTATTTCGGCAAATGTGGCTATAAGTGGCACAAAGGTGAAAGTTTTGGCTATGCAAGTGTATTTTGCCTACTTTTTTTAACCGATTGTGATGTTTGTGCTTTGTGACTTCAGATAGGGGCACACAATATGTGGGTAGGGTTGGTTTTGGTATCAAATTGGCACACTAATTTATTAATGAGTTGGGTTTAGTGCGATCGGTTATCTACTCATATTTTTCTTCTATTTCGGTTGGGTGAATGATAGATGAATGTAATTGGGTTATGGGTAAACTCGCAAAAGCATTTCTTCAAGTAGATATTAAGAAAGTTGACTAACATTTATAATAAGTTCATTACAAATTAGTAGGAGGGTATCAATTTGAACACTTCTCACTGTCTCATGCGGATCCTTATATTTGCCTCAAAATTTTCATCACTCCAACCAATTGTGTAAAGAAAACAAACGCATTTTATTACTTTGATATAATTAGTATTTTTATAATTTGCATTCCAATATCTAATGGATATTACACAACATAGTAACCTATAATAGTAGTTGAAAATATCCTTTATTCTCCACAGAAATATGGTGAATATTTTATACTATAAATAAGAAACAACACTTTGTCATGTGAAAATGCAATCCACCCAATAAATCTAAAGGGGGGCCAAAGTTGTGGGAACCACCTACAAACAAAAAAAAGCAACCAATGATATACAAAGAGGGTCAAAGACACAAATATGCGGAGACTGCTTTTTCTTTTTCATTTTTTTTTGTGTAGTTATTTAATGACTTATGTGGTATTTTTTAGTCAATGAAATCCATTTTTGTGAAAATCTCGACCATTCCTTTGCTATTTGAAGATAAAAATTACATAAACAATACAATTTAAGTTCTATTGACTATAAAACAATGAAATCAAAATAACAAACTATCAATTAAATTTATTAGCAAATTATTTCAGCTATAATAATATCTCGAAAATGACTCAAATTTTATTGAAATATTTGTATAGAATTCTAATGAACAAATATATAAAATTTAAATTAAAAACATCAGTTCAACTATTCATCAATTAGAATTATAGCCTCCTAAAAAAAATTATAGCCTCCAATCTGCAGCTGTTTATTTTTATTAGGAGGCTAAAAGGTCTTTTTAGCCTTTTAAGTCCTAAGTTTTTAGTCTTTGGATTGAGGATGGCCTAAGGGTTAATGCTGACCAACAAACAAGGGCTAAAGGGGATGGGGGCTAAAATGGATTTTATGATGCTATTTTAGGTTTGACTTGCGTGAGGGCTAAAAGTAAAAGGGTGGCAAAAATGTGGAGAGCACCTAAAAAAAACATCTAATGAATTATTATCTACAAGAGGACCAAAGTTGTGGTTATTGTTTTTTTCTTTGTTAAACAAGCTTTTTTAGTTATTTTCTGTAGTGCGTTTTTAGCCAATGAGGCACATTTTGATAAAAATTTCGACCATCCAACTATTCAAAAGAAGTATTTTGAAAATTGCTCAAGTTTTATTAGAAACACGTATCGAATAATTATGAACAAATACATAAAATTTAAATTAAAAAATATAAGTTTAACTATTCATAAGTTAGTGTTACTAAACACCAAACGTAAAATTATAATTCTCGAGTTGCAGGTATTTATGTTTTCGATGAGGTTAAAAGACCATTTTTGCCTTAAAACTCATATTTCCCCTGGTTGTGATGAGCAGGAAGTAAGAAAGAAACATGATGATTCACTTTTACACAGAGTGAGAGAAGTTCTGGGAGGTAAGCTACACTAAATACAACAACTAAGTGGCCAAATAAGAAGTCTGAAGAGGGAGGCAAATTTAAACCATTTTTTTTTTGCCAATAGATAACTTGCATTACCAAGAAAAGATATAAAGTTACAGCACCGAACTCGCCCAAATGCGAAAATCAAACCCCGAAATACTGACAGGACACAAGGAAAGGGCTTTCTTAGCCACCAAATGGGCCACCCGATTGCAACACCTACCTATATACCGGATATTGAACCTCGAGAACTGTCCTTTCCAACCATTAACTTCCCGCAGAATTGCACCACCTCTAGCATCCATCATATCACCTCGATCAATCTGCTTCACCACAACCTGTGCACCCCCAAGGAACTCTATATCCTGAATATCATTTATAGCACACTAGCGAATAGCATCCCTAAACGCCAGAAGTTCCACCAAATAAGGATCAACCATGCCCTCATACTGGAACCCGAACGCAAACACAGTGGCACATGAATGATCCACTATCACCACTCCAGCCGCACCATGAGAATCAGCACACACAGCCCCATCAATGAAGCACCGCAGCAGAGAGGAAGAGGGAGGCAGGATCGGCGCGCCAAGCAGCTGGGCAGGAGGTGCGCGAGCAGGAGTACCATCGGCCACATTTCTCCATTCCTGGACCTGGACAGTGAACTGATGCAAAAGGGCCGGGGTTGTGTATTGTATTCCATCAAAGGCCGCCCAATTGCGGGACTTCCAAACCCGCCAAAGGAGTGAAACAAAGGCCATGATAAGGTCCGGATCAGCATTCTGCTCAAACCAGCGACGCAAAAACAAAGCGATGTTAATCTCCGGAACACCAACCCTTGATGGCATTAACCCCGAGGCAACCCACAGCTCCTGAGCCACTCGACAGTGAAGGAACAAGTGCTCAATGGATTCACTTTCAATACAGCAAACTGGACATTCCGAGGGAACATCACACCCCTTCTCGCGCAGCGCTTCCATCGTCGGCAACACTCGTCGCATAACTTGCCACAAGAAGACCTTGAGCTTCGGCGGAATATTGAGACCCCACACCCTTTTCCAAAACGCCGCATCAAACCATGACACCTCTTCCTTCCAACCACGACCAGATCGACTAACCCGAACTCCCAAATGGTATCCTGACTTAACGGTGTAATCCCCAGACGTAAGGAGGCAAATTTAAACCATAATAATTGGAGAGAGGGTTAAAGCCTTAATGAATACTTGATTTTTTAAATTTTTCAAATTTTACACGTAATTCACTGATATATCAAAGTCGAAAAGGCTATAATCACTCCTAATTTCTACAACGAGCTAAGTCGAGTTTTTAAATAAAAACGAAATAAAACCTTATGCACTTGGCGGGCCCGTGGCGTAGCTACCCACAATAAACTCAGCGACCCATTTATACTCTTCCAGCAATAAAACCTACCAGCCCAAGAATCAGCCACAATTACTTACGCTCATTAACCAGACGGCCCACCCATGAGGCCCACTATCATTATCTCTATGCCATGGGATTAAACACCGTTATCCCTGAGCAAGTTAGAGATATAAGTGGGGAGTAAAAACCCAAAGCAATAGATTGAAATTCCTTTTGTTTCGAGCTTTAACTGTGAACAAGGTCAAGGGCTCCAAATCAGCAAGTGGACTTTTCCGCAGATGATGGTTTGTTTAAACATTGCCTAGCAAACTATTGGAATTAGAAGTAGAAGAAACATATTTGTCCTCGTGGTCAAAATGACTAAATCCCAAGGAAAGAAGATAGGAGGATCAGGGTATGTCATTAACATTTGCATTGGTCCTAGTATAATACCTAATCGAAACTACAACTCGTCCGTATAGCATCCCATATGATAAGCTCCCGGGATCTCGAAAACTTGGTCCTTGGTTGATGAAGTGGTTTCAGCTGGCGATTCTCTAACAGGGTAGAATTGTCGGAAAGAACGACGGACTGGAGGTAGTATTGTCGATGTTTTTCGATCCATTGATAATAGCTTCCCACATTTACTGCATGCACCAAGTTAAGATTTCCATAATCCACATCATTTTTTACAAAAGCTAGTGATCATAAGAGAGGAGATACGCACCCGCAAACTTTGGAAAATAATGTCTGGTAGCTGCATATCCAGTTCTTCAGAAACAAGCAGGCGGGAAACAAATGGCAATAGAAATTAGAACGTCGACTATGAACAAGGAAGAACCAAAGTTGAGTTCGGATATCTATGATAGTACCAGAAGAAAGTATAAAGCAGTTTCGCTCCTGACTCCAAGAAAATGCTGCAGAGCTATACCGGCATGCTCCTGCATAAGGCGATAACACATTTGGGGTCTCAACTTGGGAAGATAAGATACCATGTCTCAGAAAGTTGGCTTATGTAATTTCTCAAACATGTCTGAAATAGAGGCTGTTACCGTGATGTGTCTAAAGACATGATAGATGGAAGAACCTCTGGCATGCATGTAGCTGCCTCCCTGGCAAAAAGGCAAATAATCCCCAACAACGTGGAGTTAGAAAAGTTCAAGTTGATAAAGAATGAAGCAAGAGCCTCAAGGAATAATAATCAGGTAGCATGATCGAAGCTTGACAATATAATTACAAAACCTATCTGGGCTTCCAAACTACTGTGTATCACCCTCACATCTCTATGCTTTTCTAGAACAAATAGTACGAGACGATGCAAGGTGCAGAATGTCTGCTAAACGGGGGCCCATAACTTAACCCGACAACTAGAACAAAACGAGTGATTCAACTGGTTAACAGGACTTACCTCATCCGGGGAAAAGAATGCAACTGCATCTGGATTAATGGAACCGGCAGGATGCAACGATACTACAGCTCTCAAGGTACAAGGAAACGATATTTCAATAACAGAAGTCCTTCCAGAGGCACCTGCACTCTGTGGTCCTGCTCGCATTTTATTTAAACTGTGAAAACTATGCTCTTTAGATGATTCAATTGACTTCTCATTTCCTGAACTCGGTAAAGAAGAAGCTCGTTTCAACCAATCGCGGCGTTCGTACATAAGAACTTTGACGTTGGGGACTTCCTTTTCCACACGAGCTAGAACATCAGCGAGAGATTTGAAGTCTCCAAGTTCGCCTAGCTGACTTGTTAACGGTGCCGGAGGCCTGCAAGGTTTCTTAGAATCTGGCTCTGTACTTTGATCTTCCGATTCATCATCAAGGTGTGGAAAAAATCTCCTTTTCTGATCCGAGAATGCCTTCAGAGCTAACCTGAAAATGCACATTTACCACTTAAATTAAACCCTACACACAGACAATACTGGTGATGATGCCATGATTGATTTACCCAGTTGACACCATAATTTAAGAATCATCTTTTCCACAACCCTAATCTGAGACCTTCACCATATCAAGCAGCAACATTGCCTTGGAAGAGGCACAAATTTGAAGCATCAGTTGCCATCACAGACAGTAAGTCCAATACAAACCTGGTTCTGTCCACAGCAGATGCACCAGCCTGCCCAGCTAGTTGACGTTTCCACGCATAAGCAACAACTGCGCCATCTGGGCACACTAATGGTATATGCAAACCCCAAGAGTTGCCCCTAGATTTCATGGAATCGTTGAGAACCCCAGTTTCCTCTAGCTGCCTTCCTAGCAAAATCAAGCAAGAAAAATATGAACTTTACCCTGCCTACAATTTCTGCAGGAGCGAATGGAAACGACAGACGATACACATACCAACAGTGCGCAGGTCCTGGAGGTGCTGGCGCATGCTAGCATCTTCCTTGAGCAAAAACTGCAAGGTCTTGTCGCTCTGGTGAGACTGGGCGGCGAAGAACAACGCCTCCAGGAGCCGGTCAGCGCCGATCCTCACATCAGCAATTAGTCGCGCAGCCTGGGCTAGCCTGTCTACGGCCATCGCCACCTGCTTCGGCGGCGCCTCCCCCGGCTGACCTGCGCTTGTACTTGGAGTTGCTGCGGCTTGAGGCTCCGATTGCTGTTGTAGCTGCGGAAGCTGCTGCTGGAATTGCATTGGGAAATTGGGTTTCACATCCATGGCGAAATTACCCTGGAAGGCAATGTGCACAACCACCACCAAGAAATCAAGGTCAGTTTTTAGGCCGAGGTAAGCAAGCTACGGAACTCGTGGTTTCCGTCACCGCTTAAACGAACCGATCGAAGGCACTCGATTGAATCTCCGGACATGAATTGAAAGTGAAACCTGCTGGATTGGTTTGGGTATTAGATAATTAGAAGGACTGAGCTGTAAGTTACTAAAAGTACAAGGACCTAGTCATATTTTTTAAAAGATACGACGCCAGAAGAGTAGCAAACCCTACTTCGTATATCGTAAGTCACCTGAAATTCTCAAACGGGGAGCGGAAAAGAAAGGGGAACTGGGGAAGCCCGACCGCCGGCTGCAAAACACACGTCGACAGCCGACCGGGCGTTGAATTGGTTCTCTGGTCTTTCGTTTTATCTGAAGGGTGGTTCCGTCTTCTATACAAAGCTCTCGTCGACGGCGGCCGTAAAACAGGTCTTACTTCTCTCCCCGTGGAACCCTTCTCGCTTTCAGTTTCACTCGGTGAAAGAACTGAAGTTTTTTTCTTTTATTGAGTCTTGTCGTCCTCCTTTAGTTGGCGTAACAAACAAAAGAGCTACTCGTTCAGCGTCTCTCACTCCTGCAGTGCTCTGTTTCTTTTTTCTTGTGAAATGGCTCTCTGGGTCTCTTTGTAGTTTGCAGTCCAGAGGCCAAAGCGTGTGTTTTAACTTTTTGTTTTTCCTTACAGGTACAATGCCAAAAAATAGAGCAGCTTCTACTAATAAGAAGCAGCAAAAGCGCGGTGTCGACTTCAAGGTTTGAGATTTCTGATCATCCAGACATTGATGCATTGGCATAGTGCCTAAACTGTTGAATTGGTGTGGTTTAAGCTGGGATTTCTGTTGTTTCTCCGCGCAGAAAATTAAAAGGAAGATAGGGAGGAGGTTGCCTCCACCTAAGAATACCACCAACACTGAAGTTAAATCGAAAGGTTGAATATTAGCATCATGAACTGCATTGCTGTTTATGTTGAAATGTTCCACTTTGTTATGTGCTGATACTGATCATTTTTGTTGTTGTTGAATGATACTGATCATTTGATGGTCACTATTAGCAATTGTTCTTCCTGAGCAGAGCGTGGCATCTGATAAAGTGGGTTTGGCTGTCAGCAAGAAAGGTTTGACCTTGAAAGAGCTCCTTCAACAAACATCCCATCACAATGCCAGAGTTCGTAAAGGTTTGTATGTTTATGTCTAGTGTAAAATGAAAGCTTCCATCTGAGGGTCAAAGGATTTTGGGAAATATTTAGGTTATTGCTTAATATCATATTTGTAGTCGACACCTATTGTTTCTGAACAAAATATCTTCCTGGATAACTCACACACCACCAACTCTTATTCGTTATAACCCATCAGTAGCCTATAAGGAAATAATAGTGAGTTCTGTCATTGGTTGCTTGCTTGTTATCTTACAGATTTCTTGACAAATTAGAAACCTTAATACCTTGATGGACTACTTCCTTCCTTGAAAATGCTGAAAACGTCACTGCATGTGGAATGCAAAAGCTGTGTATGTGTATGCATAGGGCGGTTTTTTCTCATTCCTGTAATTATCAAAATTGCTTCACTTGCTTGTCATCAGCATTGGCTAGCAAAACCTGCAAATTCCATGCTACACCTCTCCCTCATTAGACGTGCCATTCCTGAGGGTCTTGTCTTGCTTCTTTCTTGTTCTTTTTCCTATCCAGAAAATAGGTAGTTGGTATGGTGATTATGTTTAATATTTCTGTGTGGCATATTGACTTTTTCATTGCTGGCATATCGAGTTTCATGCAAAGTCAAGTATGGTGTTATTGACTTTAATACTTCGTGTAGATGCATTAATGGGAATGAGAGATTTGTTCCTTAAGTACCCGGAGGAACTGAGGTCACACAGGTATGCTGTGATAGAAAAGTTGCGTGAACGCATCAGTGATGATGATAAAATGGTCCGAGAAAACCTCTATCTTCTACTCAAGTCAGTTGTATTGCCTGCTTGCAAGGAGGTAATTGGTGCTTTGCCTCATTCTTGCGTGAAATCCTTAAATTTATGACAAGCAATGGAAAATATTGCATAAAGTTCAGTGTATGTGTAACTGTGTTGTTTTCTCACTGAGAGCACAGGGACAAGTAATGAGTGCGCCTTTTATTATTTAGATCATCACTTAAACTATAAAAAGTTCGTAGTTAGAAACGCTTGGAGTTCTCTGGTATCTTACTAGAGTATTCTGTGCAAGTATTTGTCTTGAGATGGCTGATTTGATTCTCTCTTTCCTTATCCAGGATAATCAGGGACCCATCATATCTATGATGATGGTTTACATTTTCAATGCAATGGCACATTTGGCGATTGATGTCCGACTGATGTCTTTCAAGTTCTTAGATCTCATTGTGCAGTATTATCCAGCCTCTTTTTTTATGCATGCTGAAAAGGTAAAGTATGTTTGTTCATGAATTCAGCCATTTGTGGTCTCCTTTTTGGGAATATTGTTGGAGTTTGAGTTTCCTCTTATTTGTGGATGTCAAGCTTCCATGTGCTTGCTGAAGGCTGGTCAAGGTTTTCGATCTAGTTGGTTCAATCTCTGATTTATCGGTGTGCTAGATGACTTTCAAATAAAAAGCGATGTCAGGTTCTTAACAAATCTAACAGATGCATGGTAATGAGCTTTATATCAATAGTATGGTCAGACTTTTTTTCTGTGTATCTGTTCATTTGTTACTTTTTAGAACTCGTGTTGCTTCTCTTCTTAGCTTTTTCGCTTTGCAAGTTTGCTTGGTTTTCATAGATGTAAACATAGTTCTAGGCTGTTTTACAGAAATACATGTTTTTGTTGTGTGGGTAATCAGCTAGTTTATCAGTCACCATTTTTTCGTATGAATTATGTGACTGTTTCATTTCTTACAGCTTCTACAAAACATTTTTTTGTCAGATCCTACAAAACTATGAATATATTCTGAAGAGCAACCAGTTCTATGTGCAAGACAAAAGCAAGCTCAGGAATGTTCTTGCTGGGTTAGTATGCTGCTTGTCACTGTTGCCATCTGATAAAAAAGAAGTTGATACATCTGAACAGGTGCCCCCTATGAGTCATTGCAAATTTAAGATACAGTTTCTGTTCTTGTTATTTGGTGCTGTTTTACGATGCGCATCCAAAACATTAGCATATCTACAACTAAATTCTATATCTAAGATACAGTTCTATCCTTCAGCTTGTTAACTGCCATGTGCATTGATGACATCCCTGAACAAATAGTAAATTAACGTTGGGTTGTCATAGCTGCAAGGGTGGTTGAGGACATCCAATCCATGCTCAGTTCAAACCGTAGATCAGTATTCAAGTGTTAAAGATGAAAAAAGGAGTGAAAAAATGAAGTTGTGCTCTTTATGCATTGGATGTTATTGTTTGCTGTTGCTATGCTCATTTGTAATGTGTTGGCCTTTTAAGTTAATTCTGTTTTTATTATTGATTCTGATGGTTTCCCTCCAATCCTATAGGATGCTCTTCGCGAAGAAGTACTCCATGCCTTTGAACCAGATAAACCTACTGAATCTGTTGGTAAGTGTTGGTGTTAACTATCTCTACTTGTGGTAGGTTTCTTTTCAGAATAGCGAGGGAGAGGATGATGGCACGATTATTGTATTTCTGGTGGTTATGTAATGCGATGACAATCTAATTGACGATACTGCTACTAAAGTTTTGGAAGATCTACCATTTTCCCTTTTTGGGGCATGGAATATGTTAATAGAGAAGTTCTGAACAACACCTGGCCATCCATGCCCTTGTTATTTCATGAGTATATAAGTACTAATCTAGCTTCCTGTTTGTTTTATCAGAGTTCTCTATCATCAACAGAATGCTAAAGGAACTTTTACCAGTATTGCTCAATTGCTTTCAAGACTTTACTCCATCAATTCAAGGCACATCCCAGCTAGATGCACAATCATTTGACTGCATGCATAGCATCCTTCAGAGCATAGGTCTTGCTGTCAGGTTCTTTATTTATGGGATTCGCAAGGATAAACTGGAATCACAGCGCTTTGATGGAAGGCATGAAATGTCTGTGTGGGATAATAGTATCTCGTCAATACTATTGAAGCAGTTACTACGTTTGTTTCCACTCAAATCAATACGCGACCTCTCAGAGAAGGTATCGACTAATCATTATCATGCTCTGTCTTGCAGTCTGTCTGATTGTGCAAATTAAAAAATTATAAGGATAACAAGGTCCAGAAGGTGTCAATAGCAATGAGTAAATTTGAATATCATGACTATCATTTACTGCTGTGTTTAATCATTTTAAAGATGGTTTGTCTTACCTTTCTTAATCAGGCCTTTTCCTTTTATGAGGAGTCGACTGTTCTGAGAATGTTTATAGTAGTTTCTGGTTTTATGATTTTGATAATCTTTTCCTTCATTAATTTTGCTGTAGGATGGTGATAGGTATTTCATCTTGAACACTTTGATTACAGAGATATACCTCTGCACAAGCGAGTGGATGACGCCTTCTGCTGACTTATCCTTCAAGTTTCTTGCATTTGTGGAATATGTCCTGAAGGTTAGATCATAGATTCATATCCTGTAATTATACCCCCCCCCCCCCCCCCCCTCCCCTGATAAAGCAACACACATCTTGATATTTGAGATCTCACTCGGTACTTTTTCCTTTCCAATAATACTGAAATGCGTTGCTATAAGATTTATTAATAAGGCTAGCCATGATGTCTGGTCGGGAGAGAAAGAACTCCTACAGGTTCAAGTCAGCTGTTTTTTTAACTCTTGCTGCTCTGTAGAATTGTTATGGTGCCTCAGTCCTGCCCGGTGCATGGAATATCAATCATTTGCATATATATGACTTTTTGGGGGAAGGGTTTCTGCAACATGCTGCAGTTCCATACATTACTTGCTGTGCAACTTGCATAGTTATTGTCGTTTTTTCCTGAATAGGGTGAGAAAGAAATTGGCCCCTAAGATGTGCACTATTTCCTTGTTTTTTGTTGTTGTTGGTTTTTTTGTGATTTTTTGTCATTTGGTCTTGCTATCCGTTGGTCAGACGGGCATGTGGTGCTGGCAGCCGGTATGCATCACCAGGGAGTAGTGTACCCCTTCATGGCAGAGCTCCTAGTTGTAAGAGTTGTTATCTCCATTGTTGCCTCAAGACCCTTGTCTCTCGTGATAGTGGAAGGTGATTCCGAGGAGTTCGTCACCAGATCCGTCATGATGTCCTAGAAGATTCCTTTGGAGGTCCAGTGCTCCGGGAGTGTCGTCAGATCATAGACGTTTTGGTAGTTTGTAAATACTTTAGGGAGGTTCCTAGAGCTGCCAACTGTGTTGCTCATAGAGTGGCGCGTAAAACACTGCTTTTGTCTCTAATAGGGTTAGAGTCTTTATTTCGACTTTATTTGGGTGGCTTCACTAAGGTGTCGCTTGCAGGGAATTCCTGTGTAATTTTGTTTGTATAACTATTGTCCTTTCTTGATATCACTGGTAAATAAAAAAAAGTTCACATCTGCAAGTATTAATTTATGCCACTATCTTGGATTTTATGTTTTAAATCTCCTACAAAGCTTATCACTATTCACTATTAAAAAAAGATTAACAAGTGTAATGGTTGGAAGATTAATTACTTGTTCTCACCATTTCTCCCCTACTTTGAATTGTATCACATGCATACGTTGGGTATAATTTGTTCCTCACGACGAGAGCTCTTGCTAGCTAGTTGCAATTAGGAGATGGAAAGGGGGATGGATATGGACAGGTCATGGTCAACGCATTCATCTTTCTAGTTTGGTCATTGATGAACCTTTCAGTCAACAGATTGATCATAACAATCAACCCAATACTATAAAAAAGAAATATACATATAACTGGCCATTTGAAATTCAATAATTCATATTCTTATGTAAAGGAAATTATGTAAAAGGAAGACATCCATTTTAAAAAATTTACTGTAACTCTTTCATATTGTTCATAGACCGGAAGAAATCCAATAATAACACTTGTATAGCCAAAACTTTGACTGTTTTGCATAATATAGCCAGTTTTGGCGAAATACCAAAAATAGTCATTTCCGTCCAATTCGTTGACGGCGTGACTTACTGTGCTGACTGGATTAACGGATAATCCGATGTGGCGATTTTGGTCCTGTAAGTATTTTCCACGTGACTTTTGAAAAAAAAATTGAAAAGGGTAACTCGTACAGATCAGACCCCCTCTCTTCCTTTTTATTTTTCCTTTCCTCCACAGTTCTCTTCCCCTTCGAACCCTACGCATCCGACGAAGAGTACGAACAACGATTCCTTCTCCAGAACAGCGGCGGTGTTTGCCGACGACGAGCGCCCCTTTTCCGATCGATCCCGCAACGACTAACAAAACCCCTTTCCTCATACCAGATTTTCCTCCCACCCACTCATCCCACGCCCAAACCCAAACTTCCTCCTCCGAGTCGGCGGCCATGCATCCGGCTGGTTAATAGAGGGTCGGCGAGCACATTCCGGCGACGCGATTGACTTCTGGTGTGCTCAAATCGACCATCGAGACCAAAGAATCCCAAGTTGACTTCGACAGAAAAAACCCTAATCCTCAGGAAGCTGAGGGGAATCTCGGGCGGTTGATTTTCTTGACTTCTTCCTTTCATTCGACCAGTAAGTAAATCTCTGGTGGTCAATTTTCCTCTTTTCTCTCCTCGCAAATGTTCGATTGTGGGTGCAGTGTTGTAAATTTGTGTTGGTTCCTTCGAACATTAAAGGCAGGAAAGCGGACAACAAAGGCACAAAGGCATATGGGGACCACTGGCTACGGTGGAAGTGCGGAACGGCGGAGGTGGGTGTGGCGTGGAACGGCAGAGTCGGCGACGGCGCGAAACAGCGGAGGCGAAGGATGTTGGGGAAGGAAGGAGGAGGCTGAAATGGGTTCCTCGACGGTTGCGGCGGGGCTACTTTAATCAGCGGCGGCGATTCAAAAGAGGAGGTGTTGATGGGTTCTGAAACCCTAAATGCAATGAGGGAAGTGAAAAAAGAAGGAGGGAGAACGAGGATCGGGTCCCCGATTTAAGGGTGTCGATTTAGTTTTTTTCTTTTTCTTTTTCATGACGTGTCATCCTACCTGTCACTGAAGTCTGAGGTGTAAGAGAAGGAGAGACTGAGAAGGCAGCCAAGTCAGCATTCTGTTAATTCCACGAACGGTGTCACTGACACCGTTAAAGTATGTAACGGAAATTACTATATTTGTCATCAAACTTTCAGAATTCTGGTTATATCTGGTATTTCGCAAAAAATGGCTATTATTGTCACAAACATAAAAGTTTTGGCTACACAGTTGTATTTTGCCTAATACTTATAAGGTATATATAGTTATATCAAGTCGCCTTTATTTCTTCACTCTCGAATAGTCAAATCCTACTTGCCACCTCTTTCATCTCTTCTCTGTCCAAGTAAAACAAAATATGAGGGTTGAGGGCGGCGACAACATCGAGGTCGGCCACCGATGCTCCTCTCTCGATCATCTTCTAGTTAATTCGATGGGAAAGACACCATAGAGGGTCCTTAGCATGACAACAAGCGATATGTGGTTCGTGGCACAACCTCTTTGACTTTCTTATGTTTTTCGTTTGAGCCGAGAAGACGAGGATATTTGAGTCAGTGAGTGCAGAGTGGTCAGTGGGGAAATTTTTTCCTTCGTTGAGTGTCAAATTTTTCTTTTTTTTAGTGGTTTACAATCTTATCGGGTTTAATTGGTCCACTGCTAACTGTCGCTTATTAACTGTTTTTGACTTGGTAACCCAATAGAGGATTTGAGCTTCCACTAAACGTCTCGCATACTCCTTAGCGGTTAATGGTTATTAACTGTCTATTGCGATGCAATTAGTGAGGAAATTGATAACTACAAAACCCTTTGTCACCCTTAAACCTTTTCTATTACGCTAAAAAGGCATTTTCAATGGGTATTTGAATTACTTCTAGGTAGGGTTGTTAATGATCCGATCCGTCCCGAACTTTATCATAATTTGGGCTCGACTCGAGCTCGACTCGCCAAATAAGTTTAACGAGCCCACAATCGAGTTCAACTCATAAAATGTTCATGCTAGCTCAAGATTGAGCTAGAACTGAGCGCAAAATTACATTCAAACTTGTAGTAAAGTCTCTAGCAAAATAAAACACAATATTTATCTCAATTTCAATACATAAAGTCCATGAATTCCAATCATTTTTTATGCCAAACCGTTAAATGAGCTTGTTCGCGAGCTTTCGAGCTGAACATGGTGTGGCTTGAGTTCGGCTCATTTAGTTAACGAGCTTGTTCGCAAGCCAGCTCGATTAAGGCGAATCGAGTGTCGAACGAGTTTTTCTCAAGTCGGACGCCGAGCCGTTCATGAGCGGATTGGTTGATTAACCACCCTACTTGTATGGCTTCCATGAATGAGAATATGTTTGGGCTTCAGCTCAATATCGTGAATTAAGCCCAAACTTTAAGAATTACTGGAAAGAAGAAACAAACATGAAACGTTCAGCCCAGCTTGGCACTTGACAGAGGTCAGCTTGGGCCTGCATTTAGATCAGTAGATAAATACATACAAAAATGATCGGCGCGAGCGAGAAAGCAAGAAGAGAGATCCTCAAGTCCGGACCTCATCTGTTCTTAGTTCTTACCTAAAGAAAAAAAGTTACTCATCTATCTTGGAGCAGGGGACCAGGGGTTGATTAACAGAAGACAAAGAAGTTGCTCCAAGTTCCTACATGTCTTGATAAATCAACTTCGCAACTGGGTTTCCTGCTCTCTGTTTCATCGTTTCGATTATGAAGGACCATTTTCCTTTCTATCTCCCAGTTGTTTATCAGCGGGCATTCCTTTCAGTGAAGTGAACCCTCCTTGCCAGGATTAATTCAATTCCCCTTCTCGCTTCGCGTCGTTGTCACTTTATTTCTTGGGTAATTGCTCCTTCCCCCTTACTTTTTCTTGCTGCTTTCGACTCTTTGATTTCACGAGCTACGGGTTCGGAAGCACCGTGGCCATGTTGAGCATCGGAATCCCAAATGTTGGTATGGAGACTTAAGCATCAAGATGCCTTTTTGTTCGTATCTTGGACTTGCCTAGTGATTGGGCGCCTTGTGTATTGGTGCGGGTTGTGTTCTACTATAACTAAATATGGTTTCTTGATTGTTGGTAATTGAGAACTGTTTGCCATTTCATGGAGGATGTTGGGGTTAGGGAGCTAGATGCTTAGGAAACAGTTTTGGGGCTTGGAAGCTTTTAGAGGAAAAGAGCTGTTCGCGTTTAGTAAGCATATGTCGTTCTTCCAACCTTGTACTGTTATATATTTGATGGTACAAGTTTGGCTGCTAGTTGAAGGGAATTTATGAACCCTGTCAGTTCAAGGATCTTGGACCTATTTCATGTGCTGATTATGTAGTCAGCTTTAGGTCTTGGTGATCTGCTCTTTGGCTGTTAACTTCGTAGGTGACTATGGTACCAGTATGTCTAATAGTTCTTAGGACATGATCATACCATTGTCTGCAATATGGTGCTTGTGGGGTGTGGCCAATTCATTATACTTCGTGCTCATATGGATTCCTTTCTGTTGTACAGGAACCTTAATGGGCGGCTGACATACTTCCTAGATTGACTATTTTGATGGAGATCTCTGTAAGATTTCCAACTCTTTTTTAAAAATATGCTTGGATGCACATACTTTGAAATCTATTGGTCCTGTGGTGCTGGTTCTCAGTTCTATATCCTTGTAAAGATTGTGAGTTTCATTTCTACTTTGTAAGAGACAATGGAAAAGAAGTCACGTTCTTTCCAGTCCACCAGTGACACTTGAACTCTTACGAGGCTTTGTATCAGCAGTGGGGACCTAGTTTATTGTGTTAACATTCAACGTATTCGATAATTCTATGCAAATTGATTCTCTAGATTTTCCTTGGCCCCTGCAATTATGCAATCTAATCTGAAGACTGCATACAGGATATTCTTGTCAAACTATTTGGATGTCAGTAATATTGTCCTTATAGATTTTGGTAGCTCTTTGAATGAATTCGAGACAACAGTTCTATTATCTGGAATATTGTCCATTGTCCCATGTCGTTTGATTTGTATAGCATAACATTGAAGAATGCGTGCAACTTGCTAGTCTTCTCCTCCCAGTAGCTCTTCTTAGGCTTTACCTCGAATTATCTCCCTTAGATGCTTTGAAGACTTCAGTACTTCAATAAGTTCGAATCAAAATTGGTAGTGGCATGTGCTTAAATCTCGTCTTTTCTCTCTCATGGCCTAATTAAAGGGATCAGGCGATATTGGTGACCGATCAACAAGTGATCTCGTTGTCAGGCTACGCACAGAAAGTGGTAGAGATGAGTGGCTTTACTGTCACTCCTCAGTTCTAACAGACAAATGCAAGTATTTTTCTGAGCGGCTTTCAGAGACCTGGCCCACTTTGCAGATCATCGACTCTCGCAACTGCGTCGACGTCTTCTGCCAAGACTCAGACATTGATCACCATGTCAACCTTCTCCGCCTCCTATATGTACTTACAGACGACCCCTTAGAGTGCATACCACACGGAGTAACCAATGTGCTCGGGATTCTAAAGGTGGCAGTTAACCTCAGCTGCTCACAACTCATTCCTGCTTGTGTGCAGTACATAGAAGCAGTCCCATGGGAGGAAGCTGAGGAGGACGAGATCTTAAAGATCATCCCGAAAATCGGTTCACTAGCAGAACCTATTCTTGGTCGACTCAAACCGGTTGATAAATCAATTGTTGAGAAGATTTTTGTATCTGCTGTTCAATTCGCCACCTCGTCACCTCATCTGGACTCAAATCATATCAAGGCTTCTGCACAGGATCAGATCGAGTATTTGCTGACAGAGGAAGATGATGATGAGCCTCTTTTGACTCCTGGTGATGATATTTTGTCCTTGTTAAGAGATTCCATGAAAAGGTTGTTTTACAAATTTGATGACAGATTGAATTCGTTGCTTCAGATGCCCTTGCAGTCAATTTCTGAGGGGAATGAGATGAAATTGTTTGAGTCACATCTTTCTGATTTAAGTTGGGCTTTCTTGATCTTAAACAAGCTGGATATGATGCCAGAATTTATCAGCCATTGGGTGGATGGGTCAGAGAAAGTCCTGCAGATCTTTGAGCGGTTGATGAGTTCGGAAGATGGGGTTACTACAGAAGCAAGCTTGAAGGCGATTGAGGCGTCTGCAAAAGTTCTGGAAGCAATTTCGTATGGCACTGTCATTCTGCCTACTCAGAGAAGGCTTCAGAATGTGAAGCTATGGCTTCCATTTGTCAGGAAAATGAGACCCGTGATTGATAAGGCGAGCAGCAGCGAGAATCAGAAGGTGAAATTGGATGGGGATTTGTGGCAGTCGTTGGAAGCTTCTTTTGTCTCAATCATTCTAGGCCTGCCATCAGGGGATCAAGCGGGGATCATCAAGGAGTGGCTATCGGATGCAAACGTTCGGTATCCAGATTTGAGGGAGGTATTTGAGATGTGGTGTCACAGGGCTAGGATGGCTAAGAAGAGGTTTGGAAATATTGCAGGGAATCCCAGTGATGGAGTGATTACTAACATAGTTGCTGGTGGGGGAACTAATGACAATATGGATGATTCACTTGCCTGATGAAGTCTCTTTCTTGATTTTGGATCTTCATCTACGCAATATTCTAATTACACTAGTTGCACATATCAGAAATCGATTTCTGAAGTCAGGAACTTCATGTAAATCTTTTGTACGATGGCAGGTCTCTGTATCTCTTGAACTGCATATAATACATCCACAAGTTTACTGTCAAATCCAAGGTGTTTTGGTTTGGTTATATCATTCTTCTGTAGATTTCTCTGCTTACTTATGACCCAAGGGTAATCCTCTCGTTAGATTTCTCTTTCTAAAGAGGGATTAAGGGGCATTTGCGGATGGCGAATATATTCTGTGAATTTCTCCCTAGCAGTTAATTACCAATTCATGTATTATATGTGGGTGATGTCTTCGGTGCACTCACTTTTTTGGGTGTATTCAGTGCACTCACTTCAAAACCGTCATTTTAAACATGCGATTTATATCATAATGATGCCAATCATCACTTATGATGTGATGAACAATAACGCACATGAATTTGCACAAAATTCATTGAAGATTTACTTTAATTTGAAAGATTTAGAGTTTAGAGATCTAGGGTTAGGGTTTACAATTTGGGGTTTAGGGATATGACTCAAAATTGGAGGTCTAGCACTTAGGGTAATCCACTAATTAGTTGTTATCATATGTTATATTATCATATTACACTAATTCTACAAATTAAAATTCAAAATCCGGACTAGTTTTTGAGTTGGGTGCATTGAACGCACTCATTTTGTGAGTGCACCGAAGTAGTCACCATTATATGTGTTTAAATTATACGAAATGTTGTCTCCAATCAATCTCACATAGGGGTGGGCAACGGGAAACGGGTATTTGGGTATACCCGTACCCGTCCCATTTTTTAAGGGTTACGAGTACCCATATTACCCGTAATATTATAAATGGATGGGACTTGGGATTGTACATTCCTAATATGGGTACCCGCGGGTTACCCGCAAATACCCGTTTGGGTAATGTGGGTACCCGTTATACCCATTTATCAGAAATAGCCCACAGTCCAGCACCTCAACCAAATTCGCGGCATTGGGCCCAGCACAAAAGTTGATCCAAAACAAAGAAAACCACCCTTGGGGTTTTGTTAGTTGCTCTACAAAATGAAGGCCACTAGGCCAGTGCCATCGAGCAACCCATTGGAAGCAAAAGAGAAACAAGCGCAGTACCTAGCTAGCAAGAAATTAGATGAAGACTTCCCAGCATTCTCAAATTTGGTGCTTAGAATAATTTATTTCTATGCGTTGTGATTGTTCATGATTTGTGTCTTGTGATTGTTAAGCAAGTATAAGTTATTAAGTTAAGTTTAAACTGTTGTTAAATTTTGAGTGGTTTAAACTTTGGGTATTTATGGGTAGTATGGGTACCCGTTATCCGTCCCGTACGGGTAATGGGTACCCGTTTCCCATATGGGTTTGGGATATGGGAAAGACATTGGCCTCCAAATGGGACTGGGTACCCGTTTAAAACGGGACGGGTATCCCGTCCCGTCCCGTTGCCCACCCCTAATCTCACATAATCACAACTATGAATGCATAAACTATATCAGTAAACAAAGCAAGGTAAATCAATCGTCAACCAAATTATACACAGATTCAAGCATCGTACAAAATCATTGCAACATCTAGGATCCACAAGGTTCTAGCCACTCATATTCGAAGGAAAACACAGACATTGAATAGGAATTCTCATATTCGAAGGAAAACATAGACATTGAATAGGAATTAAAAAAAGAAAAATCTAACTTCTGGAAAAGGTCGTCTTCTGTCAGTTTTGGCTTATGGGGCGTCAATAAGGTCCCATTTCTGTGTCTCTAGATTTCCAGGACGAATTCTGGGGTGTGGAGGCAGAGCAACCCTTTATAAAGTTGTGTGTGATTTGAAGCTCAATAAGATATATTTATAGTCTTAGAATATTTCCTTGGAATTTTATGGACTTCGATTGGGAGTTGTAAACTCTAAAATCCGGTTTTGAGCACTTCTCATATTTTGGCGGATTTGTGTCCCTGTTGGGCCGCCAAAACTACTTTCCACCCACCAATATCGCTTTTCAACTTGTTTGGGTCATAAGCCCACACATTTTGTGTTCTCATTCTTAGATGTCAGACCTAAAAATATCAAAAAGTTACCTAAAAGTCATCAAATGTTTAAAAGCACGGTTATGAAATGCACCTTTGAGCATATATCAAACAAATTCAAGTCAAAATGCTAAAGATATATAAATATAATATAAAATGTGTCATAAATAGGGATGACAACGATTTCGGGTGCAATCAGTTTTTCTATATACCATCTTTGGACCACAATTTTCAGATCATAATCAGATCTAACCATCTGTGAAATCAAAAGTAGGCGGGGATGGAAAATGACAAACCAAAACATGCCCATGTGCAGTTCGAGAAAACCCCATTCGCAACATTTCCGGATAACCATATATAAAGTTACTGATAAAAGGTGAATATTTTCTTAGAATGTCGATGCTACTTTTAAGTTTTATCAATACATTGTTTATAAAAGTGATGAAAAATGAGCAAGATTTTGTCTAAGAGAATTATAATACTTAGTGGATATGCATGATCAAAGTGTTGAACGAGGTAGTCCAAAATTATAGTTGTAACACATTTTCGTGTGGGTTCGGTGCGAATACTTAAAATACCAAAATTGCATCAAACTCATTACCCTCTTTATTGGGTTTAGGAAGACCCACCCAAAATTAATATCGGTTGGATTTTTCTTGACCAAACTCATTCAAATTTGCTTGGATGCCCTTGATGATGGGTTATTTTGCCAAATCATGAAACTCACTAGAAATTCATGATGATGCATGACTTTTGGTCGTAGGTACGTAGTGGATCTTAAGTAACTTACTAGGCAACAAGTGCACAAGAGAACTAAACCAACATCAATGAGGTTCATAAGCACGTAGGAGTGCGACACAATTTTTTTAACGGGTAAATTGCAAGTTTGGTCACTAAGTGTACAAAAAAGGTTTATGTTGGTCACTAAAAATATTTAATTCCATTCATGGTCACTAAAATTAGTTCAATAATCCGAGTTTGGTCACTCTCCGTCCAACTCCGTTAACTTTAGCTGATGTGGTAGTCAATTCTCATAGTTGACCGTTAAATGAGTGATGTGGCAATTAAAAAATATTTAATATTTTACTATTTTCATATAATGTTTCATAATAAATTAAAATAAATAAAACATAAATAATTATTATTATACCAAAATTGATATATAACCCTATCCTCACCGGAGAACACCTCCCGGAACCTCCTCATCCTTCAGAAACACCCGTCGACCGCAATTCCTTCACTTCCCAAAAACTCAAACTCCCTCAGAAACCCGCCAGAATTCTCCTTCATTATATCTCACCCCTCCAAGACCCCAACTCTACACACTAATTCATTCACTATCTGTTTCCCCTTTTTCCCTTTGGGTTTTCCAATTTCAAAATGACAAATTCTGGTAGTGACATCCGCTTTATTATAATCAAACGTTCCACCTTCTTCATCTTGTAAACCTTTCACCTCTTGTGACATCCGCTGCCTCTCTTCTCTCAAATCTCCGGCATCCAAACCTCCCCAATAATCCACCCACTACTCCAAACCTCCCCAATGTCTTGTGACATCCGCTGCCTCTCTTCTCTACTCCCAGACCCGCCGCGAAAACCCACCACACCAGAATTCAGAGCAACAGCAAGTTCGGGTCCTTCGACGACTTGAAACCAGACTTCGTACGGGGACCCATCATATTCCCGGACCTCTCGTGGCACGACCCGTCATCTTCGCCCCAATCCTCGCAATTCGACACCATCATCAATTCGTGGGGATTTTCGTTTTGGTACTCGGTGAATTTGTGTGTATAGAAGAGTTCTTGCGGGGTTTCTAAGAGAGTTTGAGTTAAGTGGAGGTATTGCGTCCGGTGAGGGTTTCTGAAAGAGGAGGAGCTTCTGGACGGGTGAGTGGAAATTTTGCCGGTAGGTTAAATCTCAATTTCGTAATTATAATTATTATTTATGTTTTATTTGTTTTAATTCATTGGGAAGATGATGTGAAAATAGTAAAATATTTAATTTTATTTATTTTATTAGTTTTATTATTTTTTAATAGTCACATCACTTAGTTAACGATCAACTATGAGAGTTGACCGCCATAACAACTAAAGTTAACAGAGTTGGACGGAGAGTGACCAAATTCGGATTATTGAACTAAATTTAGTGATCATGAATGGAATTAAATATTTTTAGTGACCAAAGATGAACCTTTTTTGTAAACTCAGTGACCAAACTTGCAATTTACCCTTTTTTAACTAAGGACATTTGCGTGCATACATCATACCAGAATATATGTCAACTACCGTAAAAATATAAAGGATATGAAATCATTCTACTCAATCTCACCCCACATTTTAAAATAGACAATGTTATCATTGGATCAAACAAAAGAATAAGGTAAAGAATAAAACGAGTTACCTAGAAGTCGATAGATATTTAGAGTATGCCATGAAGACTGAGCAGCTAAAGTCAATTGTTTAGAAGAAACAAAAAATACTAGATAAAGAGATTAAATAACCAATTTCAAGCAAAACTTGACATTACTAATTTTCATTTATAAACCAAGTAAAAAAAATTTACAAAAGATAATCATATATATATATTGAAATACAGATAGTTACATCCTGAAAGACAGCCAGGTCTGAAAATCAAAAGAGCGACACGCAGTCGGAAACAAGGACAGGGCTTTCCTAGCTACTACATGAGCTACCCTATTGTTATGCCGACCTACAAATCGCAGACTAAACCCCGGGCTCAAACCAAGCAAATGAATCACTTCTTCCAGAATAGCTCCCACTTGGTTATCCCTAGTATCACGTCGTAGAATCTTATCAATCACCACTTTGGCATCACCTTAAAATCTCATCTCCATAAAACCAAGGCCCCTGACCCAAGACACAGCCTCTCAAAGAGTAAGCAACTCTGCCACCATTGGATCATCTAAGCCTTCAAACTGGACTCTTTGAGCCAAAAGGATTTCCCTAGCAGGGGTCAAGATAACCATCCCCCTGCCGAGTGTGATTCACTTTTGGTAGCCCCATCCCACGCACAGACAACCACACCCATATCCTGATGGAAAAGGGATGGGACTGCACCCCCAGGGATGACGGCCGAATCATTTCTAGGCAGAGAGGATCCATTCCCAAACCTGCTGCTCATACTGCAGTAACAGAGCCAGAAACCCAA